CTCAGTTTGACGGCACGAGCTGTTTTGCTCGTCGATCCAAGATGGATCTCTTTTAGACAGCAAGAACGCAGGACCGTTGTGGTACCTATAAACTGCTCAAAATTGAAACATTTCTTAGTATTTCTCATTTAGTGTAACAGCACCAGCTATTTTGCTGACATCAGATTAGATTAGATTAAAAGTTCGATCCAAAATCCACTTGGACGGCTTATAACGCCGGCCAGTTATGGTACCAATAAACTCCTAAAAACTGTATCATAACACCCTAAGCGCTTTTAGCCAATCACAAATTTGTTGAGACTGCTAATATTAGTTTCAGCTTTGTTTAAGGTTGCCGAGACGTTTCAGCCTCAGTCCTGCAAAAGCTTGACAAAGTAATAAAAAGTACCTGCATGTTTCCACCTCACCCTCCTCTAAGCAACTTTGACAACAGACAAGATTTTAACCCTTACCGCATGAATGCCTATTGGACCTTGTTCTGTATATGTGTAAGAACTTCTACAATTGCAGCAAGATGAACTTCGCTCAAAGCAATTAGTTTAGTAGGCCTCTTGCGTTCGACTTTAGGTCTGTAGAACCTCGCAGCCGCACAGAAACTGGTCGTCGACCAGCACATGTTAAGTGCAGTCGATGTCCATCGATCGAGTGCTAGAATGCAAGACGCCAATGTAGATCGCAGCCTCATTCTCACATGAGCAGTCTCTGTCCCTCTACCTAGCTCATCTGATTTGCTATTGTCAGTGATTCCGCTGTGACCAGACAATCAACTGATCTTGAAGTAGCTTGAAGCTATTTCTAGTGAGGACAGACACTCTTTTACTAGCTTTGAACACACAGCTATCGAGCTCAGCGCCGCTGACGTGCCCGAGTGTTGCCGCTGACGTCACAATAGCGGAAAAAGAGAAATATGATGAAGTTTTAGCAGAAAGCTTTACAGTGTTCACAGTTACCACATCAGAGCTTATGCATTTTTATGACAATCCATTTTTTTTTTTTTATTCCTCCTATCATTAGTCTATTTCATCCTAAAGCAACGTTACAAATTTTTATCACTCTAAGAATGTATAATTTTTATTGTTCTGCTATAACATACCAATTTTATTATATTTTCTCTTCACCTCATACAAATTTATAGTTTCAATATCATACACTATCTTGGCTTCTTCGTGCTGTTCCTCGTAATCTTCGGCATTTGCGCACTGCTCTTCGGCCTAACTATTGGACTTACATTAGCGCTGGCAATTTGGGGTTTCCTGGTGTGGTTGTGAGCGAAAGGAGCGCCATTTACTAGAGCAAAATTGACAAACTCTTACAACTATCAAATTCACTTCGTTGCATGTAAAAGCGCGGAATGGGAGCACTTTCCAAAGCCTGCTACTTTTTATAAAATTATAGAGCACGACGAGAGTGTCTTGTTCTTTATACCTACATATTTGTGGGCGTCTATATTAGTATAATTTTTAATTTTAATTGTTTTAACTAAATACAACAAAATAGTTGTGAGTACAAGTCATTGTTAGAAGCCAAGGAAACAAGCAATTCACATAGCAATACAAATACATATAAACAAGTTATTAAACTATAAAAGTATATATACATATAAATTTGTTATACTTGTAAAAATAGCTATTTTACTAACTTTTGTTTCTTGAGTACAAAAGTTGATAGTAAAGCAATCGAATTACTTTTAAGCACACAATAAAGCTATTTTCTTAAAAATACGTAAACCAAATTGAATGTTTTCAGGAAATATATTTAAAACAAAACAATTATATTCGCAGAGATATAAATAATATTTTTACAGTTACAAATATTAAACGATACAAAAAGCGACAAATAGTCTGCTAGAAATATGATTTATTAGCAACAACAAAATAAGTTCCATAAAAGCGAACCGATTAATTTATAGTTTTTAGCATAACTACATATATACATATATATAAATTTGTATGCTGTGCAATTTAACGATAATAAATATAATTATATAACATAATATAAAAAAACTAGGACGATTTTTTTACTACAATATTTGCGGTTATGTGACTCTAGTATTTGCGAAAAGTACTTTAATGTAGTAACAATAAAAAATAGTTCGTAAAAATTATAATAAGAAAGTAAGTAATGAAATTTAAACAAGAAAAATATGTTAACTTCGATTACACCGAAGTTTTAATACCCTTCAGAGTTGCATTTTTTACAGCATAAAGAGTTTAAGGATTTTCACGGATTTCTTCGAGTAAAAAACAACATTTTTCCCTCTCGCCTAAAAAAAAAATATTTTATTCAAATATTTTATTGTTACAAATTTACACTATTAACAACAAAATTCTGAAATTCTCGGATAGAACCGGAATCTCGGATAAAAACTCGGATAAAAACTCCTTACAGAATCATCTAAATTTAAAAAATACGTGTTTTAGTTATAACCTTAACTTAGAACTTGGGCGAAGGAAAAAAACTGATAATTGAATGTTTGGCAGACATTTTTACAAACAAAGAAAGTGAAAGTTTTCAATGAAAATTTCGCAACATTTCTTTTTTTTCCAAATAGTTGTAATCGCAAAAAAATCTTTCGACCAAGTTTTTAAGATTTGTTTTACAAAGACCTGTCAAAAATTTCATGAAGATCGACTGAACACAGTTTCGAAAAAAACGCGCTTTTAGCTCGTTCGCCGGTATGGGCGCCAGTATGCCGGTACGTCGGCCTTCTACGTCGGCACAACGCTTTCCTTTCATGGGCAAATGCATTTTTTCGAAAAGGGACAAATCGCATGGTGCCATATCAGGTGAATACATGGAGTGGTTAATGGTTAAAATGTAATTTTTGCTCAAATAATCGGTCACAAGCGTCCTTCCAATGCAGGATTCTGAGAAATTTTTGGTCGTCAGTCAATTTGTGCGGAACAAGACGTAGACCCACCTTTCGTAAGCCGAAATGTACGGTCCAAATGCGATAAATGGATGTTTAAAAGATGTTCAATTCCATTTCCATGAATTTTGACTGATTTTTGGTGAATTCACGCACAGTTTCGATGGAATTTCTGGCGATCACGAATTTTGATTGGCCCACGAATACTTTGACAACGTTGAAACCACTCGTGCACTCTGCTACGGGATAGGCAATCATCGCCATAAACTTGTTTCATCAGTTGAAACGTTTGGGTAAAAGTTTAACCAATTTTAAAACAAACTTTAATGTTCGCTCTTTGTTCGAAACTTATTTTCGCACCGATACACAAACATACTGACACTTAAAACGCATTAACTTCACTTCCAATCAATGAAATATCAAAGATAAAGAAGAGCAGATTCTACGCACCAGTCGACATATAGATTTTTTCACCGATAAATGTTCTTTTATAAACAATTTAAGGCCGTAATCAATTTTTTGGTCACAAAGGTTTTATTTTTTTGAAAATTCCCTCGATTTGCTTTACTATATTTAATATTACTTTAACAAAATCTGTTTTGGTTTTTTAATTTCCGAGGATCTAGTTCAAAGTTATATTGGTCACCGCAAAACGTATTTTTTGAGAGGAACTCCCGGAGATCATCTATAGTTCCTTTACAAATAAATTTTCTTACTAATATAATATTAAGTCTTAAAATACCATAATAATATGTTTAAAAATTTTTGGACCAATAAATTCAAAAATTTTCTCAGAAAAAATCTGGAAAATTCACTTTTTTTGACCTTCTAAATGTATATAACCCCTTAATTCTTTTCTTTAGACTTTTCGAATATAACGGCATAATAACATATGGTACAAAAATTTATATATTTATGGATGCCTAAATGTATGCAATACTTGTGTGGGAAGTAACAGCTTTGTATTTTTTAGTAGTAGACTGAAATTTTATTATTTTATAGCCACAAAAAGCTTTTCATATTTGGGACTTTATTAAAATAAGAAGTATTATTAATAATAACGAAAAATACATATTAAAATTTGTAAAAAAAAAAAATTTTTTAATTTTATAGTTTGTAAAAAAAATTAAAAAAAAAATTAAATAAATAACTACAAAGAAATTCTAACCAATTTTATATTGAATAAAGTCAAAAGTGTAATTTATAAGTTAATATTTATGTAATTATTTTCATGGAGCGTATTATATTAATTGATTCTTATTTGTTAATATATATTTTTTTTTAATTTCTCAGCCACCAATTAAAACAATATTTTAAACAAGACATCTAAATAAATTTTTTTTTTGTAATTTTTTATTATCTTATTAATACTTTTCAATTCTTTTCCAGCAATATTATTTATCGGTCTTTTTATTTATGATTATTAATCATTAAATGAAATATTATAATATTGAAAGCAAACGGAATTTAGAGAAATTATTATAAGAGAGAAGAGCTAT